CAAACGTGATTGGTTACCTACCACTAGCATTTACATTATATTATAGTCATGATATATAGTATCCAGAAAAAAACAATACTCCTCCGATCATTAATATAAGATCTGACTGGAAAGTTGATATTAGTCCTATGTAAAATCTATTTTACATTTTAATCAATTTTTTCTTAAATTAACTTTATTTATATTCCATAACAATAATTAAGTAGGAGAAGGAGGGAGAAAATTAAGAAAAATTCTTAGGATATTTTAAGGAAAAAAATCAAATTAACTAATTAGGTCTTACGTTAAAAACAGGAGGAATAATTATTAACAGCTGGATATTATTAAGTTGAATGCTAATTTGCGTAACAAAACCATACTCTATCCAAGGAGCCAGCTTCCTTCAATTCTGTCTAATCACATAAACATGAGCCATTAATTCAGTACCTGTCCGGTAGCAGACAATTTTTTTTTTTTTTTTTTTTTTAAAAACGGCAGCCAATAAACCTATAAGAACTTTTATCCAAAACCAAATCATCATTACCAACTAGTTAGAGATACAAAGAGTGCGACACTTTTTTCGTTCGACTCACACAGAACGTAAAATCTCATATTTCTTGGGGGCAAACACAAAAATTCTCATGATTTCCCCTGATATGATTGACAATGATCCACACAATTTGCTTCGTAAAATCTATCAGTATATCAACCAAATCCAACACAAATGGACGAAAAGACAACAACTGACGAACAACATGTCCACATGTATGGCCATCCATATCCAAATGAAAAGATATATATAATTAGAGATAAACCCAAAACATCACTAATCACTGCTAAAAACAAAAAGAACGTAAATACATATATAGATCTTGTGGGTGTCTCAAACTTCTTTTCTGAAACGCTAAGGCTGGCTAAGTTAGGGCTTCTGGCTACCATAGATTACCATTCAAGTCACTGTTTGTTATCTGTGTTGCACCGCAACATGAAAATTTCTTCACGCATGTAAGAAAGCTACGTCCTTTTTTTGTCGTGTTAACCTCAACAAGTTGGTACAGGGAATCACCAAAATAACAATGTTTATGAGCCAATTAAGACAAACAGATAACTGTTCTTGTCCGTACGTACAACCTAGATCATGGAATATTTCTGCTTCGTCTCATGCAAAACCAGCCAATGCTTTTAATTTGGTCCCCCAGCCTTCAAAGTGTTACTGTGTTTGTGTGTGTTGTGTGTGTGTTGTGTTCTACTACAGCTAGCATCCATTCAGGGTCCAATAATAATGTCGTGTTTTTTATGAATAAGACAGGGTTGTCTTGTTACCAAAGATAAACCCCATTTGGTGGGATATTTTGAAATCCCCCTCATCATGAAGGAAAATAAAGGTACGATTCTTCTAAGAAAGAGCGCGTCCCAAAAAAAAAAAAAAGAAGTAGAGACCCGCCTTAATTTCGAGGAAATTTCGATCTTAATTTCTTAACCCCGACACCGGGCTGCCTTTTTAATTAGTCGTAGACATTATTATATTGTTGATTATTATTGATTTGTTTCCCATATTTTCCCTAACTTGGCATTGATCAGTTTAATCACAAAAGGTGTAAAATGGAATACTTAGAATTTACTGGAGGATTCATGCATGCCTCTTCACAGGAAGAAAACAAAGAGGCATGCAGGGGTTAATGTGAACAAGTTGATTTGTTCTTCAGACAATTGCATATGCTAAGCCAAGCCAAGCCACATGTTATTCTTTGTTATATAGGACAGAACTTTATATATTTTCTTTATATTTGACAACACCTTTAGTTTTTTCTTTTTCAGGAAAAATCAGCGGTCCAAAAGGGCCTTATCTTTACTTTAATTTATGAATAATTTTTCAAGCAAATGATAACTTTACACGGTAGGCTGATGAGAACGACAAGGATGAAAATGAGACTTAATTTTCGTAAGAGAGTTTGTTTCCAACTGGAATATAATATGTTGATCTTGTTTAAATTTATTAATTAATGTTGTCGTGTTTGAGCCCTAGTGCTTAAAATTAGTTTTACCCCTCTTATTATTAGTGATGATGAAGTAAAAAAAATCTACCTCACCTCCTCTGATATTTAGTATTCCTCTAATTTTAAATATAGGGTAACTTCTATATGGCCAGCTCTTTTTTTTTTATTTTAATAATGTTAATCATGAAACTAATTTTTCTTAAGATGCACCGATTAATTATATTTTGTTTGTTTCAATTCCTTCTAATGTTTCTGATGCTAAGTTACTTTCTTCTTTTTGTCCTTATTCGGAATTTGTTGTGTAGCCCTTGACATTTTAATATAACTCGGCATTTTACCGGAAAAAATAGAATTTTTTATATTCAAAATTGAAAAATGTATTCAGACTTAATTATAATTTTTTTAATGTATTTAGAAATTTTTTTTATTAAAATAAGATAATTGCATAGTTTTTCAATGATAGTTTGACAAATTAAATACTTAGACGTACTGATTGTATAGAAAGCTATGTATACACTAGTCATAATGGTAACTGTAGCATGCTTGGGTTCTGGTATAGATTGAAACATTATATATCAGACTTACGAATCTAAACAGTAAGGAATGATGGTTCAATATATATATATATTGCTTGAAAATTTGGTGTTTAATTAAGAGCGGCTCAAATCATAGGATTTTTTTTAGTATATGAAGATTAAGAATATCTTCCAATCCCATTTAACGGAGCAAACTAATCCTTTCATCATATTTGACTGATGTTCTCACCTCTTGTGAAGGTATTTGTGCTCAATAAATTAGTAAATTCTTTTATACGATATATAATTTTAGATGAGATTTCTCCTTATATGCAAACTCAAGTGATAAAAATGATGGCTAGAGTTTAATAGATGTTAATGCAATCAGAAAAATATTGATTAATCTTTAGGATTTCAAATCAGGAAAAAAAAATAAAGAAGAAGGAAGAAAAAGAAAAGGAGAAGAAAGAAAGAAACATTAAAACAGATGGAACGTAATGGGCCCACTACATCGCTTGCTGGAATGAGACGATGACCAGTACATTGCCTCTTGAACCCAGGTTCCTGCTGGTTGGGCTTGGGCTATTGAACGTTTCACAGGAATGGGCCAAATGAATAACAAGGGGGCCCAACTGACCGTATTGTGGGTCTTTATCTCGGGCTTAATAGAAGCATGGGATGGTGGTGGGTTCAAGCATACTATCCCAGAGTTGCGCTCCATCCCATCGAGGGCCTCGTATTGTTATTGGATTAAAAATGTACAGTTTCTTCCGTTGGATTTTTTTTTTTGGGGGGGATCAACTGTGGATTTCACCTGCCAAATACCACCTCCATTCTTAGTATAAAATCCTGTTTTATTTTTATTTTGATCTTAAATATAAGATTTGATTTATTTTATCTATCATATTTATTTATTTATTTCTAAAATAGTTATTCTAATAATGGTAATTCTAGCCAATAAACTTGATTAACAAGAATATTTTAGGACAACACCTATTTATTACAAATAATTATTCCTCTGGTTCTATTTATAAGAAACTTCCAATATGTTTCAGACAGACCAATGAAAACTTTAAACTGAATTAATTTTTTGTTAGAATATAGCAATTTTCCAAACTTTACCCGTATTTAATATATGCTCTTTTAAAAAAAAAACTATCTAGAATATAATAAATGAAAGACAATATGGTATATTCATGGTAAAAATTTAATGAAATGACTTATAAATATGACAAAAAAAAACTTTTCTCTCTGCCCTATAAATAGAACTAAAGGAGTAATTTAACTTATTTTCTTAATTTACTTAAATTAGTCAATTAGCTCATATATTAAGGATCGGAGTAGGTATTTGTAGCGCACAAGAAGCTGAACAGTGGGCGATTTTTAAAGGTCTAAATATAGCTTGGGACTTTGGATTCAAGAAAGTCATTGTTGAGTCTGATGCTAAGTTTGTAGGTGGTCAACTTTGCAAGCCAGATGCTAATAATAATGACGGCAGCCTTTTGATGACGAGAATACTTGACTTTTTGAAATCCAACTGGGATATTAGGATCAAGTATATTGGAAGAGACACTAATGGTGCGGCTGATGTGCTGGCGAAGAGAGGAACTTGTTCTTCAATGTTGATATGTGCTCTGTTAAACTAGGGAACTTTGTGCAGAAAGAGTGCTTGTGATCTAATTTCCTTTCTATTTAGTATCTAGTTGGGCTTTGCCCTCTTTTATATACATTAAAAAAATGTGTAGAATTATGGAGAACAAGTAATGAATTAAGTTTATCCTACCAATTTTTAATTGCATATCTTGCTTTTTATAGTGTAATTTTTTTTGCCAACCGATATTATGGTGTAAAATTACTTAAAATAAGTCAAACCAAACACCTTGATGTTAAGGCCACTTGTGTTGCATATAGATGTCAAGTGTTTTTCAAGACACCTCCCCCCATTCTCCTAGTTTTTTTTTGTTATGTATAAAAATTATCTTATTAGAGACAATTCCATTTACGATATTATTAAGTATAAATATTATTACCCATTCTAAGAGAAATTCTAGCCTTGTTCGTTGTGCTGCTAGAGACCAACTCTTTTTATTAGATCAATTCCACTGGTTCCACTGTCTGAGTTGATGTGGATGAAAACTGCTAGGAAGAAAGCAAATTCGTTTTATGGGGTTTTAACTTTTACGGACAACAAATTGTGTATAAAGGGACTGTTTTGAAAATTGGGAGAAACTAGGGGGTTGTTAGTTTTTCCCTTTATAATTTTTTCAGTGAAAAATAATAATCTAAATGCAAAATCCACGACAGTCAGGAAACGCAGAACTTGTATCCACACCCCATGGAGCACTTCTTTTGTGCCTCTCGTTGATGAATATTTACACACACATTTTGTTGCTAAAGTTTTCGGCAAAATCTTATTTATGCTTAAACCCTAAACCCTCCTCTGCTAGCCTAGCTACGATGTGTGGAAGTCCTGTTTGGTAGCGAAGCTTATCCGCGCATAGGCGACCTGGGTCGCGTCCATGGCGATTGCGAGCTTAAAATTTGTGTGCAAACCCAATATACAACTACGTCCGCCTCCATTTCAATGCATTCGCAAGGTAAATGCGCGCGCTTTTGTGTCCTCTGAATACTTCTTCCTTCTCTATTTCGCTCTTCCACTTGTTTATTCCTTTGTTTTCAAGGTTGTGCCGAGATATGCCCCTTCCGTCGAGGCAGAGGAAGGGGTAAAAGAAGAAACAAAGGTTTCGGTTCTTGAAGAAGGCAAGTGATGGACTGAATTGTTGGTGAATGATTTTCTTTTATTTTTACCCAAATGGCGTATTGGAATTTTATGCAGTTTGTCGACTTTGATAATATTGAGTGCTAAATCATTTCTCTTGGTCGAATTAAATGGATGAAGGAAATAAGAAGGGCCCAACGTGGAAGAAACTGGATTCCAAAGAGCTTGGAATAAAGACTTCAATGATCACAAGCCCCACGAAAAAGGTTCTTAATAGGCTGAAGAAAAAGGGTACATACTGCCTGTCACTGGTTCATTTTTCTTTAGCTCCGTTTGTATAAGAAAATGGGAAAAATTGATGAATGGTTCAGTTTGGCTAATTTTATTTAATTGGTTCAGTTGCTTAATTTTATTAAATCTCTTTCTCATTGTTGTAGATATTAAGAAGGGTTTCTGGTACTTCTATCATCGATAGAGTTGTTTTTGAACTTGAATGAAGTAACACTCTTTTATTACTTTTCATTTTCCAATTGCGGCAGTGAGCGATTTAAATGAAGAATTGGTTTCAAATATTTCTTCCAAACCTTTGCCTGGTATTTGCATTGCACATAGATTGCCGCATAGTCAGAAAATCCCTAATTGCAGTAGTTGAAATTACAGCTGATTCTGCGGAATATATTTTCTAATGTCTCACCAAAACTGACATCAATGTATGAAGAATAAGAACTAGACGTCTAACTACCTTCTTGCCTGAATTGTTGTTTCAGTCTGGCCACCGCCATAAACTAATGGCCATTGTAACTGATAACTGCCCTGGTCAAATTCATCTCGTACATTGTGATATAAGTCTTACTGGTTCTATGCTTTCGAGGGATGGGCTTTTTGGTGTAGATCAGCAATCCTTAGCAGTGATCTTCAAATGTTAATTAAAGTATTAAACTGTATTAAATTATGGACAACGTTTTGATTTTATTGAGATAAAAGAATTAAGTGCCAACACTTATGTTTGCATAGTTACGTGATTAAAATTTCACTTTTATTTTGGTTGATTATGTTTTATTTGCTTTTTTTATTGTGAATGTTCTGCTACTGCAAAATCTAGAAACCCTTTTTTCTTCTGTGTGTAGGATATGATGTATACCTAGTAGGAGGCTGTGTGCGGGATCTTGTTCTAAAGCGTACACCAAAGGACTTTGATATTATAACTTCAGCTGAGCTCAGAGAGGTTGCCTTCATCTCATATTTTCTTGTTGTCTTCAAATTCATTATCGATATCAAAGTTTATTGGGAGGCTCTTTGGACAAATAGCTAAGTTGAATTAAGAGCAGTCAAAAGTACAAGCACAAGTGTTTATTTCGGCTTATGTGTTTTTTTAACATGGAACATGCATAAAAGTTCGTTTATACAAAGTCTAAACTGCTTGATGTTTTAAAGTCTTGATATTGCTTGGTGAATCTTGATTCAATGTGTAGGTGATGAGAACATTTTCATGGTGTGAGATGATTGGCAAACGGTTCCCTATATGTCATGTTCATGTGGATGGTACCATTGTTGAGGTTGGTATTGTTTCTAAATTTTTAACTTTGGACAGAATGATTGTGTGATTGCTTGAATTTATCCCATTGAGGGCTTTTGTAGCAATTGTATCAAGCATGATTCCATCTCTGTTTTTTGAGTAGGTATGATAATTTCTTCATCCCTTTTTATTAGGTTTCAAGTTTTAATACTGCTAGACGCAAGTTGGGTGTGGATGCTTACCATGACATTAAAGGACCCTCTGGCTGTGATAAGAAGGATTACCTTCGATGGAGGAATTGTTTACAGCGAGATTTTACGATTAATGGGTTCGTACTTGGTGCTTGCAATTTAAAAATGGAAAATCTAGTTTCTTTAGCACTGCAATTGTCTACTTTGTGATCTATATCTAGAATTTACTATTTATAGTTTGTGCTGCTATACTGCTAATTAACTTTATGCTCTTCCAGGTTGATGTTTGATCCTTACGAAAAAATTGTATATGATTACCTGGGAGGAATGGAAGATATTAAAAAAGCTAAAGTGTGCATGTATCTCTTATCAGCTGCGTTTTCTTATATTTTTTTTGTTACTGTCTATCAGGAACTTCCTAAACTAACTTTCTGCATGAATAGGTGCGAACTGTAATTCCTGCAAATGCCTCTTTTCAGGAGGATTGTGGTGAGTTTTCATTGATTAATTGATGTTGCATTAAAAATTATAATTCACTTCACTATCACCTTTTTGCATAAGAATTGCCTTAGCTACAAGGAATATTTTACTGCATTTTTTGCAGCTCGTATTCTACGAGGAATTAGAATTGCAGGCCGCTTAGGCTTTGGCCTTTCCAAGGAAACAGCTCATTTTGTAAAAAATCTTTCTTACTCAGTTTTAAGACTTGATAAGGTATATAAAGTACTTTTCTCCCTTATTATTACCATGCATGTGAATATTTTGCCTGAGCTGTTCATATTTTACATTGTTTAGGGTAGGCTTTTGATGGAAATAAATTATATGTTAGCTTATGGTTCTGCTGAAGCTTCTTTAAGGTTACTATGGAAATTTGGACTTCTTGATATTCTCCTTCCCTTTCAGGTACATGATGCACTTCTAGATATGCTTCATTTTTAATTTTATCTGTCAGTCTAAGTCTGTTTGATTAATTTAGGTTTCCCTTGCAGGCTGCTTATTTTGTTCGCCATCGATTTCGTAGACGGGGCAAGGGAACGAATATGCTTTTGGTATACCTTTCTGAAGTTTAGACTTTATAGACTGACATGTTTTCTTAGGTGAAAGGGCATAAAAGAATCAGCAAACCCATCTCCCCCACAACCACCCCCCCCAAAAAAAAAAGGAGAACTCCAAAGGAAAACTGTTATTTGTTGATATCATTTCCTCCAATTTGTGCATTGAGTATAAATTTTAAGGTCGCAAATCCATAAAATGCATTTCTTCCGCCTTTTGCATTCTTGAATATGCTGCTATTATGAACTGCAATATGCAATGTTTAGTAAGTTGTTGTCTGTATTTACTAATCAACAATTTAAGAATCCCAGACTGAGAAGCATCAGTGTAATGAGACAATCTTTCCTACTTTTCTTTCTGATTTTGATATGAAACTGCAAATCTTTCCTAGAGTGTAAACTAACAACAACAACAACAGACACAGGGAAAATAGTCGGTTTGATATTGATAAAGACCAAAATGCACTAAATCAGTTTCACAGGTCAGGTACTGATTCCAACCAAAACCCAAGTCCCGATTACATGCAGCAATCAGTCACGTACTGTTTACACTGAAATAGTACAAAGCATAATCAAGGCAGTGACTCTAGTGTTCAAGAGGCCAGAACGCTCCTCACAGTACACTTTTCTCCAAATTAGCCGATCTGCCCTCCTCTCCATAAACACGCTCACACCCACCCACCCACCCACCCACACACACACACACTCCATCATATATACACACATATTTGTCAGCCTTGGGTGGGATGCCTGAGGATTTTTTTCTTTTTTCCTAATTTGGTTATGGCTCATCAGGTATTTTAGTATGAAAATATTTTTTAAGTGGTTGGGTGTAATTTAATCGTGTCTTTTGGAATTTTATCTGCAGTCATTCCTGTCCAATTTGGATACACTCTTGGCGCCTGATCGTCCATGTCATAGTAGCTTATGGTAAGATATATGCCTACAACAATGCCTTTTTCTTGTTTTACCTAGTTAGCCATATGTTTTGGAAAGTCTCTGATTTTCCAGGAGAAATTGAGACAAATCATTTGTTTGCATCATAAGTGCAGCCAAATATAATTATTCTATAGGACAGCATATGTTTGAAGGCATAAATTAAATTTATGATTCTCCCTGGGTCAGTCATAGGAAATAGTTTCTGAACATTATTTTGCTTCTATTCTGGTTCTCTGGGTCCCATGGGATTGATATGTAAGTTGGGTCCATTGAGCAAGATATATCATGGATCTTTGCTTTCAGGGTCTGTATCCTAGCTTTACATAAAGCACTGAGTGATAAACCGAGGTGCGCCTCAGTGGTTGCTGCATTTAGTCTTGTGGTTCATAACGGTGGAGATTTGTCAGAAGCAATAAGCATAGCACGGAGGATTAATAAATCACATGATGCGAGGTTTCCTGAATTGTTAGATCCATTAAATCTGGATGACGAGGAATTAGCGGAAGAGATTGCGGATCTTGGAGATTCCGTTAAAGGTTCTTTGTTGCAGATGACGGATGAGCGATTCGTGTCCCAGGCTATGGCTGACTATCCTCAAGCCCCTTATTCAGATCTGGTGAGTACTTTTTCGCTTCTTAAATACATGAACTACTGCTACTGGACAATGTTATCAAGTACATGGAACGCACTAGAATATTTTAGGACCTAGACTTAATCAACATTTTAATACTAAAATGAATTTATAACCTGCTCCTGCCGAGATTGTACCCACCACCATGCACAGACATGAAGGTAGAGTAAACGTAAACCAGCATATTGAAGAGAATGCAAGATCTGGATTTTTATTCATTCAAATGACGTGTGGCCTTCAAAAGAGCAAGACTCTTGTGCATATTTGACTTAGGGACAAAGAAAGTCACTCTGTATACCAAAAGAAAGTCATTCTAGGCATGCCATTTCAGTTGGCGAGCGACTTGACGTAGAGAATTCAATCCAATGAAAGCGATTGGCTGGTAGGAATTTTGTGGTTAATGCTTTGAGTATCAATTCATGTTGTATTTTTTGGTTTGATGATTTTGACAAGTGCCACAAATTTCCAAATCAACTGGATATTTAATTATAACAAACTAATTAGTCAGGGTTTTCCCTGTTAATATTATCGATATATGCCTTTTGAATGACACTTGGTTCGTACTCTTATCTGTGTAAATTTCTCAGGTGTTCATCCCGTTAGGAGTCTACCTCAAAGCTCGCAGCATCTTTGACTGTGTGACAATAGTTGATGCTGCAAAGAGATTTGTGTCAAAGCGTGGCAGAAAAATTAATTACGAGTCCTTAGCTTCTGGCGACCTGCGGGAAATACGGCATGTTTTTGCGAGGATTGTATTTGATACTGTATACCCTTTACGCCTAATTGATCAACAGTCATAAATGAGTACGTCAAGGCTAATTTGAAGTTTCCTTTAGAAATTTTGTGAGAAGAATGATGCAGGATGCCATTCTATCAAGCAAATCAGATCAATTTGGAATGGAATTATGGTGAAAGGTTTGATTTTACCATTTAAGAGCTATTGGATTCCTGAAGAAATTACCATCTCATGGTCTAATTCCGGCGTTTCAAGTAATTTTTACGTTTAATCACGCAACCAGTGATGAAGCAAGGGCACTTCACTGCCCTGCCATATGCAATACCACGGAGTCAACGTAGGCTAAAAGGTCATTTTTTTTCGGTTGTTTTTCTTTTGGGGGGGAGGTTAAACTTTAAAAAGTAACGCATTCATTAATATGTTTTTGGTATACTCTTGTTAACATCAATTTAATTTCTATTTTATGTCCTACAACTACAATGTATTCATGCATGTTATTGTAAATTTTACTTTCAAAAAATAATAAAAATTTATTAGTTGGATCTGTGGGCTCACTGAAGTTAGGCTGGTGTTAAGGCCTAAAATAAATGCTTTAAGAGACTGCTTTTCCGACTTGTACTTTGCTAAATCAAATTGTAAATTAAATAGCAGACGTCCAAATGGGTCTAGTCATCTTATTACCAGAAAAAGTGTTTAAAAAAAATTCCTGAATTACTTAAATTTAGTGAATGATCGATGATTTTGGCCAAAAAAATGTGGAAATAGATTTACATTTTGTTTGCCTTGGTACTCTGTGTGCGCGTATAGACATGGCCAATTCCATTCAATGAGAAAAGGTGGTTATTATTGTATTGTATGCAAAAATAATATTTATTATCTTGAGTAAAATATACAAATGAATTGGCAAAAAAGCAATACAAAAAATTGATAATTATTATTTTCATTCAAAGGAATGACAAGCTAAATCAGTTCACTGGCCACTCAAAAGGTTCCCTATATCTGTAATAACTAATATTATGTTTTGTGAATGCAGAGGAAGTTTGCAGTCTCTGCTTCAGATTTTCATGCATTAGCAACCCCTGTGGCAGCCGGAGGGGGAGCTCCGCCAGTAGTAGGCCTGAAAGAACAAACAGCCAAGTCATATTATGAGACGGATAAAATGCTATAGAAACTCTGCAGCATAATTATTGACTTCACGGAATTAATAAAATAAAATATAAATAACATTAATTTTAATGATTTTAATTTTTAAAAAAAAAGATAAAACAAGTACTAAATAATATTTATAAGCATATAAAACAGATATTTTAAGGAAAAAAGAAAAGAAAAGAAAAAAAAAAACATAGCGGAAAGTTATTCTGACTAATAAATTTTTTAACGAGAAGCTATTTGGGGGGGGGGGAATTGAGAGAGTCTCCATTCCACTGGGCAAAACAAGGAAGGCAGAGGAGAAGCTACTTACAGTCCCACAAACACTTTGAAAGAATCATAGATTCCCCATTGTGCTCCTGTTAGCGTTCCAATCATAACTATACGAAGAGGAAGGCCTCGAGTGAAGAGACCCCACAGCCCCATGTTCTTCACAGCCTGCAAAATCCACCAATTAAAATTCTCAGTCACAGCAATCATCATTATCAACAATGTAACTCAGTCCTGCTCTGTTTTTATCTACAAACTCTCCAACCAATCAAATCTAATCTACATAACAACTTTCGCTATAGAGTAATTTTGGACTTACATCACCAACAGTGGCTCCTTTGGCATTGTTGAGGAAAGAAACGAGGTTATCAGCAGGGTGAGAGACGAGTGCACAGAAAATGCCGGCCAAATACCCTCCTGCATAACTCACTCCAAGTTGCACAGCAGTGCTGCACTGCTCTTTAGGGGTAGGGATGATATGTTTGTACGTCATCTCCACAATATTCTCAAAAGTAGAAAATTTCATCATCGTATCTGAAAGCAATAATCAATGAAAAGCCTAAGTACAAACACTAGGGAAGCAAGAAGATGAGAGCCATACAGTCTAACAAAGACGGAAGAAACCCAACTTACATGGAATCTGACGCCCCCATAAAGGAACAAGTCCCTTGTACAACCTACACATTGAAAATTGGATCAAACTGAGATTCAAATATAAAGACCTGATAGAATGGAATACTAGGTTCCACATTGATAGTATTTAGTTCTCACATCTCAACAACTAACTTTTGTTCCTCATCCTACTCAATGTAAAGTGATAGAGGCAAATGAGATGAAATATCACCATACCCAAGAGCACCTTCAGCTCTGACAATCTTGGGGAGACCATCTGCTAAGCCACGAGCAAAGCTAGGCTGAGTCTGTACGCGAACTTTGACAGCTTCCATGGGACAAAGGGCAACATCGGCAATGACCTCTGCTGAAGCTGAACCAGCAAGGTATATCAATGTTTTGTACTTGGCTGCATACTCAGGGCCAGCAATGTCTGAGTAGTACTTCTTGAAGAACTCATAAAATCCATACTTGCAAGCTCCCTGAGCACTGTAACCCACCAAAGTTGGCGCCCAACCCTTAAAAAGACCCTTGATACCCTGCTCCCGCGTAACAACACCGAATCCTGACATGATGCTTTTATACTTTCCTGGATCGATCTAAAAATAACAAGGTTTATCAATATATATATATATATATATAATGTTTTGCTTAATGACTAGAGAAAGTTATCAGAAGATGCAGACATATTTCCCGGCATGAATATAGGCCTATCTACCACACAATAAAGGTTTTGGGTAGAAAACCAGAGATCTTATATGCACATGCCCTTCTGTTCCTATATACAAGTCACTTGGATTCCATTCTTGCATACCAAAAAATGCATTAAAATGATAAATTTTTGCACACTTGCTCCCATTATGTTGAAAAAAGATAATTAATTACCCCTACAAGTGACTTATATTTAGAAACAAGAAGTGTACTATACATACATATACATATACACACACATACACAGCTTTGCACTATGAGAATGATCCTAAAATTGGTAAAATATAGATGGTTGGTGGAGGATGGATGCTCGTTAACAAGAACCACAATCATAATTCCTTAAAATGTAAAATCAAGTATCAAATGGAATTTCAGGATTCAATTCAAACTCTTAACCAAAAACCATTTGAATCAAAACCAAAATAGTTGATATTGACACAACGTGTAACAGACGCCACAAGATTGTGTACTACATATAATAATGTTTAGATTCAAGGTGTTATGCTTCTTAAACCGTATCTAGTATGATACGTACGGGCATTGCATAAATTGGACACAAGATAGAAACAGAGGAATCAGAGCATGCCTGCATGTTACACTTCACAACATCGAGAGGAGTGACGGCCATGTGGGTAGGACCAGTACACAGCAACCCTCCGACTCCACATGCGGCGAAGTAAGCCGGAGAAAACAACTCGATCTTCTCGTTGGGCGACGGGATCACAAAACTCCTTCCCGGCGGCGGCGGCAATGACGATGATGAATTCGAAGCTACAGAGCACGACGTCGTCGGTGACAACCCGTGATTCTTGTTCATGAAACTATCCAAGTGGAAGAGCCTCTTCGATGATGACGGTGATGAGTAGAGAAATTGAGGGACGAGAGAGTGGCGAGACTCGTTGGAAGGAGCCATTGACGGGTTCTTCAGAGGCTGAATTGAACTGGGAGAAAATCTGAAGGCTTGTGGTTAAGAAATGAAGTTGATGGGTTTAGATATTGAAGACGAATGGCTCTCTCAAAGAAGGGCCGCTTTGAATTGGCGCCCTCTTATAACGGTTACTGCTGGGAGACGTAGTTGACCGTTGACCATTCCGTAGACTATTCGTCTCATTCCTATTCTTTCCAGATAGGTTTTTTTAAAAACAATTTATTATTGGCAAAATGAATCTATATACTTTTCGTTGCTCGTTATTAATTAATGTTAGCTTTCTTGGTTTGTTTTCTTTTGGGGTAGATAGAAAAGCTACGATTTTCTATACAATCACAAGAACAATACAAGTATATATATAGGACAACTAACGGAATTGGGTCTAGCGGAAGGGACTAGTTCTTCACAACATGACGAATCAAATCGATGACTAGGACATCGAAGGAAAGAGTGATCACATTTAATGCCTGATAATATCTCGAATAAGATTACCTTCAATAGGAGAATACCTATGATTAGCAAAAAAAAAAAAAAAAGTATACAGGACAGAGCATATCATAATTTCTGTTTATCTAACTTAATGAATCCCTTCCATTGTAAAGGGTTCGGTAAACAGGGAAAGAAAGAGATCGATATTAACTTAATAGTTATTGAAAACTTGCGTGCATTTATATGTAATAATAATTCAATTTATAGCTCAAGTTGCTGATGATTCTATACTTAATTATAATTTGCATAGTAAACAACATAATAATAATATATAGAAAAGCCGTCCATCCAAAGTGTTGGGGAGAAAAATAAAGATGCGGTGTGAAATGATATATATTGGTTGGCCAAAAAAGAAAAAAGATAGAGTGTATATAAATATATTAATGGTCAATTCAAAGTTCAAAGTGTGGCAACAAAAAAGAGAGATAATTACAGCATATGCGTAAAAACCGTTGACTGACTGATGAAACGCTGAAGGGGGCGGTTTTTTTTTTTTTTTGGGTCAAATTGAAGGGGCTGGGTTTGGTGCACGCTTGAGGCGGCTTTGCGTGGAGTTAAAGGCTAATATCACATTACATACGTAAGTGAGGATGTCAAAGTTCACCCCAAATTAGCTACGTAAACACATGCTGGTTAAAACAGGAAAAAAAAGAAAAAGAAAAAGGCTACGTCAACACGCTTCCCTTGTAAAACTAGGCTATCAATTTCCGTTCTTCATATATCATTTGATATTATCCTCCCTTCTTAATTATTACTTTCTATATTTAATATAAGACTAAGATAACTAATTTAAAAATATCAAGAAAATTAGTTAAATTATTTATCTATGCCAAATATGTGATAACTTTCTTAAATTATCATATTCAACCGTGTATTTTGGAATTATTATTCTTAGTGAGAAACTCCTTACAATAAAAGAAGATATTTGAGAAAAAATATTATAAATTCGGGAGACAATGAATTGAAGTTTTATATTTGTAATCAAATTCAACCCCCAAAATTAGTTTTTATATTAAAGATAGTATATAAAACAAAGTTGGATACAAATTGACATGATTTTCATAAAATACGTCCATACAATATTGGATTATATTACTTCTAGTCCTTAATATAAGATTTAATTGAGTAATTTGAAGAGATTAATAAATTATTTATAATAAATAGGTATTGTCTTTCCTAAAATATCCTTGCTAATCATATATTAGTCAGAATTACTATTTGATAGAACATTAACATATACAACTACTTCAAGGAACACTTTAAAAAAAAATACATAAATATAAAAGATAAAGTGGACTGGAGGGAGTTAATTATTTAAATCAAATTGAAAGTCAAATAAATTTTTATATTAAGGATTGGAGGTA